TGATTGAAGATGTATTTGAGAGTTGGCTTCATCACTTCACAGATGTCTTTACAAAGATTTCTGAGCAGGTGTTATGTAACTTTCTGATGACAGCGTGGCAAAATCGAGGGATTATTAGCTAAAGTTAAAGAAATTCTGCTCTGAACCAGACAGGCAGGGAAGGCTTGAACAGCTTGTAAGTGGCAAAGTAACGTGGTCATTAGAGGCTGCTTGAAAGTACGAGTAAACTGTATTTTTGTAAGATTAAAAGACAGGTTTTATATACTGTTTCTGGGAGAAATTTTGTGGTCTGTGTATGTGGAAGATTAGACTGGTGGGTTGTGACTGTAACTCCAAACATCAGTGACTGTGAGTTGATGTTGGTGCCTTTCTCTCCAGGACCAGTAATGCTTGTGCACATTTTTATGATTTTGGAGGTTGCCAGTCACTATATTTTTCCTTTACTCTCTTTGGTACACTTCTTTCTGTTTCATAAGATGCACGTTGTAACATGAACATGTTGCCACATGAGCACTGGTGAACGAAATTGGAATGAGAAACCCATGAAGTCACCCCACCTTACTCTTTACATCACACTCATCGTGTACAAATTCAGACATGGCCTGACTTTTTTGTAGGAACTGAAATAGGTGCGAGTTTGCTTTCTGATGCTGGATTATGAAGGGCAGTAAACTAATTCAGGAGTAGTTAAGGCAACCCCTATTTGGAGGCAGCAGCCTCCACAAGAGGGACAGACACCTGGAGCAAGAGCCTTGTCAGCTGCCACAAGTTTATCTGCTGCTGCCTCTGAGCCAACACTCCACGTTAGCTCGAGGTAACAACCTCTAAATTACCTTCAAAGAAATCCCTCCCAAGCAAGCCTGTGCAGTCCCCTCAATGTTCTGCAATCAGCTTGGAAAAGTGTTTCACTCCCACTTCTCTCTGCTGATTGCAGCAAAACACGGAGTGTTGAAGCAGGGCTGAGCACTCCTGCCTGCGCCCATACCTGCAGCATGTACAAAATATAACAAAACCAGCCATCTGTTCCTGCTCTGTGTCCAGCATTCTCATAGTTGTGATTTATCAAGAACGAGGGCATGTGTAGTGCCTCCTGGTAAACGACAAAGGTCAGTCACTGCTTCTGCGGAGTGCCCGCCTGCCCCTCCTCAACCTCCTCCTTCTGATCCATGGTCTGCAAATCCCTTTTTCCACACTGTTCCAGGTACACTCATCCTTAGGCAGAGTCACATGACATTTCATCCCAAATCATGAATAGGTCAGATGATTTTTGTTTTTAAAAAAGCCCCATAGAGCACACCAGTAATTTTGGTGAGATATTTCATTCGTTGATGTACGTACAAGGAGGCAGCCTGAGGTAACTACTCCTGTTTTTCTGTCTCCTTCTTAAATATGGAGAAAGTTACATTGTGCTACAAATATGTTGTTTGCTCAAACTGAGGATGCACGCTGTTATTCAAACACACTCACATGAAATGTGAGCTATCAGTAGAAATGAGGGATTCAACTATGAGGACCAATGAGCACTCCAAATTCTGTACTGACGCTGCTTCTCGCAAGCGTTCTGGGTACAAATGCTTTGTTGTGTAAATCATATACAAATATTTTACAACATAGTCATTGATCTTACCTTTTCCACTTGTATTCCTTTACTGTATAAAAATTTGCCCTTCCATGGACTACAGTAGTTGCAGTGGGGATGAATTACTTCAATATAAAGCGTAAGCTTTGCTATTTTAAGTATATAAATATTACAATATTTCAGTCAAAACAAATGTTGTTTCTCTAAAATATGTTCAGTATTATGGCATTAAAAAGTTGACATTATCTAGTTTTCTTGGTCAGCAACTATTCCAGAGTTTCAGAGTGCTTTACAATGTCTGCAGCATGAGTGCCTGTTAATCTCTGATTATCATAATTTCTGAAGACTGTCAGAGCACTTCAGTTAATGACACAAACAGAACAGAATAGTTTTAATTCAAAACTGTAGTGCCATAATATTTAACTTGAATCAGAAACCCTACTGATGTTTCTTATATTGCAAACACTTGGCAACAGTAATTCTACTTCTAAGGGAGTATTTGTGGAGCCCTCTTTCATTTACGATTATGGACGTGTTGGTGCAAGTCCAGAGGGCCATAAAGATGATCAGGGTGTTGGAGCACCTCCCATATGAGGACAGGCTGCGAACTGGCGTTGTTCAGCCTGAAGAAGAGAAGGATCTGGGAAGATCTTACAGCTGCCTTCCAGTACCTAAAGGGGGCCTAAAGGAAAGAAGGGAAGGGACTTTTTATAAGAGCACATAGTGATAGGACAAGGGGTAATGGCTTCAAGCTGAAAGGGGGTAGATCTAGATTAGATATAAGGATTCTTCTCTATGAGAGTAATGAGGCACTGGAACAGGTTGCCCAGAGAGGTGGTGAGGCCCTCTCCCTGGAAGTGTTCAAGGCCAGGCTGGATGGGGCCTTGAGCAACCTGGTCTAGGGGGAAGTGTCCCTGCCTATGGCATGAGGGCTGGAACTAGATGATATTTAAAGTCCTTTCCAACTCAACCCATTCTACGATTCTATAATTCTATGAATCCCAGTAGTACGCTTTCTTCTTATGTTTCAGGGTACTCTTAAAATGTCATAAAAAGAAGGGTTTTATATTTACATCACATTATTCTAATAATATGGTAAGATATTGCTACATATTGCTACTTCTACTTACTATGTCAGTGATCTGAAGATGATACTGATAGCTGGAAACACGTACATACTAACTTTTCCTGGGATAGCAAACCCTTTTGTAGATGTAGGCAAGTCTCCAAATCTCTTTTCCTCTGTTTCTGTTCTTCAAAAATAGTGATTGTTTGTAAGTGTTGTTTAATAGTATTGCATACTCCAAACCAAGAAGCACAGCAGCAGTGTGTGTCTGCAATAACTAACATGTCAGAGCACAGTAACAAATGGCTTGCAATGCTAAATTTGACTTAACAAAGCTGTTTTTCTCATGGAGGATGCATATGGTTGAAGTGAGGTTCACTGCCAAAATGAAGCAGAGAAAACCCAAGTGGCCCCGGCCGCTCTGAAGCTCTTCAACAGAACCAGGCAATCTAGCGAATAGGAGTCTTTTGTAACATCGCTGACTGTAACATGGCTGACTGACATGACCTTTCTGCTTTAGTCATGAAAAAATGTAGAGTTTCAAAAGTCAACTTTTTTTAAAAGCTCTTAAGAAATGCTTGTGCCACACTGCAGGACTCTGGGGCAGACGGTCTGCATGGCAGCTTGGGCACAAGTACGTGCAGTTCAGAAAGCTCCTGTGTCCTGATTATTCCTAGTGTCCTAAAGGCAAAAGTCCATTTGTACAAACAGCGTCACCTCTCTGACAGTGGCCCAGGCAGGCAAGAGACAGACTTCTTTGCAAGATGGACATATGGTCTGACCCCATGTGGCAATTTCTCTATCCATATGGAGGATCAAGTCTAGGACTGGCATCTTCTTTACCGTCTGGTTGATTTGACATCCCTGGCAAGAATATACTGGAGAAGGTGGCTGGGCTTTTTCCTCTGTGAGGCTACTCCTTCAGCTCACAAGCATTTATGCCATACTGGCAGTTTATAGATAGATCCAGCCATTTTTGTCAGCTATCATATATGGGATATAGTTCTGTGGGGCTCATGGAGAGTAATTTGAGGTATTAAGAAGGGAGGAGAGCAAGAAAAAGCATGTTGGGGATGAGGACGAAGAGAAGGAAGGACTAAAGGACTCTGGCCTCTGGATCTAGTGTAGCACTTGGGCTGTGCTGCTTTTGAACTCCACGTGTTGGGCAGAGCAAAGAGCAAGGCAAAAGTTCAGTGTCTCTGGTGGGAGGCTGACACCAAATCACTGAGTCACGTACTCCAAGACTTGACTGACCTCTGAGTGTGTATCTGTGTTGTTGTTTACGCTTTACATATAAATGCATATAACCCACCAGTTCTTATGATTCAATATTGGAAGAAATGCAATTTTTAAATCAGGCAAATCCAGAATCTAGATCCTTCATGGGAAAGGGAAACCATTTCTATGGAAGGTGACAGCAGGAGCTAGGTGGAGAGGAAAAATCGCAGCCAAAACATCTACTGCAGCTATTTAAGATGCTGCAGTACTAATGCAGGGAGTGCTCCAGAGGACTTTCCTCTGATCAAGCCCTGAAGTCAGAGCACTTTCAGGACCTGGCACAGAGCTCTGTCCAACTGCGCATTTTTCATCGCTATTGAGATGCAGTATCAGTGGCAGCCAACACGTGACCTTACAGCGATGCTGCGCTATGCAGGTTGGCCTGAGTCCCTTGCTTCAACAGCAGTAACCTGGGATTTGCTCTCATTGTCAGAGCAGGTTGTAATTAAGTCTCCTGTTCATTACGTAAGAAATGATTTTTGGCCAGGTGCCTGTTCCCAAACTTTGCGTATCCGTGTGAAGGGGGGAAGTGGCCTGCAGGAAGTGTCTGGGACACGGTGTCTGTGCAAGACAGAGGAAATACTCAGGTCTTAATTCTTTTGCTGCTGTAGCGCCGAACAAGGCGGTCAGTCAGAGCTCCCAGGGACTGACGAATTTACAAAAACCTCAGTGTAACGAGCTAAGTCTGGTCTGTTGTGATCGGCAGCAGCAGGCAGCACACAGAGGAAGCATGCGTGGAGATGGACCGTTATGCAGCCTGTCATGGAAAGATAAGGTACTTCCATCTCCACTTGACAATACAAAGTACTTGTGATTAATCAGGGTAGTGTAAAAATATTCCTCTCAGCAGTGGCCACTGAAGTTCCTATTTTGTTATCGATAGTATAAAAGCATGTATATTGAAGCTAACCGCGTGAAGCTGATCACCTCCCTCCTTCTTCTGAGTCTGCAGAGGGCAAGAGGAGAGCTCCAAGCGTCGCTTCCTTACAGAGAAGTGTGTAGTGCATACACTGCAGATAGATATGCACTGATTTCAGTCCTACCAGTCATAGACTTCCTATCTATTTCTTTTCCTAGTGTCCAACAAGCACCATTTTATGGACAGCAACTTGCTCTACCAGTGCCGAATGAATTTCCGCCGGCGGCGGCGATTAATGGAGCTCCTCACTGAGAAATCTCGCTTGATGCCAGAAAGCCATGACAGTCCATTTTGCTTGCGCAAGCAGAACCATGACAACAGAAAACACACCAGTTTTCTCTCAGGTGACTCATCAACTATACTGCTGTCTGTAGGACGAGTCCAGGAGATGTTAAAACATCCTATTTGGAGGCGAGGTTTCAGTGTTTGTCTGAAAAAAGCGGGTTTGGGTGTCATGTGTCGCCGTTCACAGGAATTGACCATTTGTTCAGTTTACAAAATCTTTAGCTTCCTGGAGTGGTTCTATATCAGTAGCAACTGCATTTTAGATGCTGATCAAAATTCAGTGTCCATAAACAAACAGGGCTGGTTCAGATCCTCCAAGCCCAGAGTAATTTTACATGTATTTTATGTGGAATTTTCAAGAAGAGTAAAAATGAGGGGAAGGGGTCCTGCAGTGTTTGCTGCGCAGCAATATCTAGTAAGCACTGAAAGAATAAATGTGAAGTAAAAGGAAAACTGGAAAACTTTCTTCCCTACATTGAAATGCCTCCTAGAAGACGGGAGCAACGGGAGCAGTTCACCTCTCCTGTTAGCTGCAGCATTATACTCATGCAGTTACTCTCTGTAGAACACACTAACCCCTTTCCGGTGTTTTCAGCAAAAGCAGGACTTACTGCTGTCATTTTAAAGAAACCAGAGAAATGGGTTTAATAATGGATACCAGCTCCCTTTCTTTCTCTTTGTAGTGAGTCCCACCAAGGAGATCAAGATCGTGTCGGCGGTCCGGAGGAGCAGCATGAGCAGCTGTGGCAGCAGCGGGTACTTCAGCAGTAGCCCCACGCTCAGCAGCAGCCCCCCCGTGCTCTGCAATCCGAAATCCGGTGAGCACCAGCATCGCTTACGATGCACGGGAGCCAGAGCACAGACATCTGTTTGGGGAGAAGGCGACTTGAAGAATGCCTAGCATCATGTCTAAGTTTATCTTTTCAAAGATACATTAAAAAGTCACAGCGTCGCAGGTTTTGTAGGCCAGAGGGGACCATTTTCATCTTCTAGCCTGAAGTCCTGCTGACCAAAAGCCCGACATCTGCCTCCAG